CGCTCCCTGGAGCCAGCAGAGTGTCGGGTCGCCGGCTGGCTTCTCAGCGTCTCCACACCCCTGGGGTTGCGCACCCCCCACGACGGCGCCAACTCCCACTCCGACCCCAACGCCGCCGCCAAGCCCGAGCGACGCCTTCGCGACGCCAAGCACAAAAGCCTCGCTGACGCCAACCAGCCCGCACACGCCAATTCCCGACAGTCCGACGCCTGTGGACGGCCTCCGTTTGATGAATTGCCTCCGCGTCCTTCCTTTTGAATGCCGAACTTTTATGTTATTTGATCGCCGAACTGTGGCATGGTGATCGTCGGACTTGTGGTGTTGATCGCCGGACTTGTGGCGTTTTTTGGGTAGCGGGAAATGTGAAGTTTGAATTTAAACGTCTTGGGGCCGGCCCTGGGGGCGTGACTGGGGCCTAGATTGCCCCCAGGGCCTAAAAAAGCGCCGGGCGATGGTGCGAAATAGCGCCGGCCGCTGCGCTAGGGGGGCGAACGAGTGGAGATGCTCTAAGCAAGATTGATAGAGTTCTTCGATCGGTTGAATGGCCTGATCTTTTCTCCGGATGTTTTCTGAAGGGGCTGTCTTCTGCTCTTTCAAATCACTGTCCTCTCCTTCTTTCCACCATGGTCAAAGCCTATAAATATAAAAGATTCAGGTTCTAAAAAATTTGGACTAAAAAAGAAGGATTTCTTGAGAAGGTGGAGATGGCTTGGAACAATCCAGATGGGGAAGCCATATCTAACCCAATTCTGCGTTTCCGTGCCAAACTTAAACATACAGCCAAAGCCCTTCAAAGTTGGAGCGCCAAGAAATTTGGTGATTTGAAGGAACAAATTGTATGGGCCAAGACCATTATTGATCTCTTTGATCAAGCGGAAGAGGGTAGAATTTTATCTTAGGAGAGAGTTGGCTTAGGAGAGAGTTGAAGAAAAAGCTTCTCGGCCTTTGCACGATTGAGAGGGCCATGGCAAGACAGAGGTCCAGAATCACTCCGCTTCGTTAAGGAGATGCGAATACTTCGTATTTCCACATTCAAGCTAATCACAGGAGAAGGAAGAACTTCATTGGCTCTTGGTCGGATGGGTTTTCTTGGGTGTAAATCAATCTGATTTGGGCAGGCTGGAATTGCCTTTCACGGAAGAGGAAGTCAGGGAGGCGATCACATGGACATGCCAAAGGAAAAAGCACCAGGGCCGGATGGGTATAATATCACTTTCTACAGCAAGTATTGGCAGGTAATCAAGAAGGACCTAATGGCTGTCTTCAACTGCCTTCATACACGCAGCACCTTGGGGTTCGACAAAATCAATGGGGCACACCTTATTTTGCTCCCTAAACGACCTGGGGCTGCTGAACCAAACGATTTCCGTCCGATCAGCCTCGTTCACAGCCTTGCAAAAATCATTTCGAAGGTCCTTGCCAGAAGGTTGGCTCTGGTTCTACCTTCGATCGTGGGGGAAAACCAAGGCACATTTTTGAAAGGGCGTTCATTGCATGAAAATTAGAAGATGGTAGGAGAATCAGCCAAGTTGCTAAAGGAAAGGAGATGCAAAAGTATTCTGCTGAAATTAGACATTGCAAAGGCCTTCGACAATGTTGCCTGGCAGTTCTTGCTTGAATTGCTTAAAAAAGTTAGCTTCGGACCTAATTGGTGTGATTGGATTGCCACGATTCTCAGGACGGCATCCACCAGGATACTTCTAAATGGCATCCCCGGTACTAGCTTCTATCATGGTGTGGTTTAAGACAGGGAGACGCCCTCTCACCCATGCTGTTTACTATTGTCATGGATTCGCTTTGCAAACTTTTTGATAAGGCTGAACAAAGCGGTATTTTGGAGCCCTTCAACAATAGACACTATCACCCAACGTATGTCCATATACGCTGATGACGTTATTCTATTTTTGAAGGCTAAAGTGAGGAAGTTGCTGCAACTAAACTGCTGCTGAATATTTTCAGTTGGTTCATCAGGACTTCGATGTAATCTTAGCAAGAGTTTGTTGTCCTCTATATTCTGTGAGGAAGATCAGATTGAAGCCTTCGGTAATATCCTTAGTTGCATGGTTGAAAAGCTGCCGATTAGCTATCTAGGGCTGCCCTTGAGTCTCAAGAAACTCCGCAAAGAAGACTCCCAGTGTCTCATTGACAAGCTTAGGAGCAGGTTAGGTCCTTGGCGCATTGGCTTTCTCCAGCTGAGTGGTCGTTTGATACTTGTTCAGGCAGTTCTATCGGCAGTTCCAATATTCCACTTAATGTCCCCGGACCCCTCGCCGTGGGTGTTTAAGGTGATAAAATAGATGCGTGGGTGAGGGGGGCAGGAAACTGATTGTCCGGGAGGCGGACGAAGAGAGGGCAGAATGTGGTCCTTTGGCAAGAAAAAGGAATCTTGGTTCTTTTTAGATACTCCCTCCGTCCGGAAATAGTTGTTGCAGAAATGCATAAAAATGGATGTATCTAGAACTAAAATATGTCTAGATACATCCATTCGGCCGACAAGTATTTCCGGACGGAGGGAGTAGTATAGATACAGACCAGCCTAAGAAGTATTCCTAGTATGCAGTTATGGATATAGTAGTAGGCAGTCACTGCCCCCACTAGACCTCGTGGTTATTCTGAAAATTCCAAAACAAAACAAAGGAAGGCCAACCAGGCAGGGTCCAAGCAGAACAGAAAAAGAAAAACTTAGGGTAGCTCAAGCAAATGGCTTATGTGTGGCCAAAGAAATTACGTCATATATATTATCATGCCATAAATAAGGATCATGCTCTGCGGATAATTAATAAAAACTATATCGTATAGTTTGCTTAACTACTTTGTTGCATTTGGCATTTGTGCCAAGGCACAGCGGTCAGCAGTAACATCAGTAGAAGGTCTGATAGAGAAAATGAAGGTTTGATGCATAAAGGTGAAATTTTGCTTGTATTGTACATAACAGAGAGAAGAGCTACTAAGTTTTCAAGCTGAGAAAAGTAATTTTGGTTCAAACTACAAGCTTTTGATCGGTAATCCAATAAAAAAACAGAACATAACAGAAAAGAAGATGAATACAACCTGCTAGCACAGTCGTGGCTTGAAAGGGCTGCACACTCCAATTCAACTTCCGGCAAACTGTCGAGCTATTCGACTTTCTCAGGCAGTCCCAGCTCCTTGTTATTGTTGTCGTCGTCTGACTGTGGGGCCAGCGCGAAGCGGCAGACAGGGCAGATGCGATTAAGGCGAAGCCAGTCGAAGATGCATCGCTGATGGAAGGAGTGGTAGCAGGGCATCATTCTGAGCTTCTTGCCGCCGTCGATGAATTCCTCGAGGCATACGGCGCAGTCCTGTTCCCTTGTTTCTCCCACGGTCAGCACCTGCAGACCCAACATGGCCTTTTTAGAGGCTGGGTCACTGCATACATCGTCGGCGGCTCGCCTCCGCTCTTCCAGGTTCCTCAACAGGAAATCCTGGGACATCCGCTGACGAAGCTGTGTCCGATATGCGTCCGGACCTTCGGCTTCCCTCCCGAATCCTTCGATGAGGGATCCTTGTTCGCCAAATCGTGCGACCAGGGAATCATAGTATTCCCCTTCCATTGATAGATCTGGCCCAGCTCTGTCAAAGACAAGCCGAGGGAGAAGTAATTGCCTAAAAAATGCATAGGAGAATCAATCTATCATCTTGCTAGATTAATTGTAAACACCCACCTCTGAGAACTCTGCGCCTCTTAGGCGGAGTGGAGGCAGATCGGTCGACGACGGACTCACGTCGGTGCCGGCCGGCACAGACGCCTAAGAGTAGTGCCCTCAAACCCTCAAACCCTTAAAAATAACCGTTTTTTTACAGTTTTCGCCGGAAAAACGCCGTAGACTAAACCTCTAAACCCTCAAACCCGTAAAAAAATTTAGAGGTCCAACCCTCAAACCAATTTGCAATCTGTAGAAGTAGGGGTTGAGGGGGAAATCTCCCCCCAACCCGCACTCCTCTTCGTCGCTGCCTCCTCGTTCGCGCGGGAGGCAACCGCTCCCTTCCCGCCCGCGTCCCGGCGCCCTCCTCCTCGTCGCCGGCCATGGAAGGCCCCTCCGCCGCCGCGCCCCCGCCCGCCGCGGCCGCCGTTCCCGCCCCGCCCGTCCCGCCCGCGTTGG